GACCCAGATGGAGGATGCTGCGGTGTGGTGTTCATAGGTGTTCTGGACTCAGATGGTTGATGCGGCGGTGTGGTGCCCATATGCGTTCTGGGCCATGGGTCGTCCCAATTTTCTTCTTCAGGATGTATTCTGTTGAATGGGCGTATAACCGCCACCGGCTTCCCTCCCACACCGTCGGCAACTTAAATGTTTGTCTTGCACTCATTGTTTGATTCGTGCTGTCTGCTAACGACTGCCTCCTCTCCGAGCGCTGCACTAATTTAAACACATATTTCCAAGGTCATACCGCCTACCACTCACGACTTCAAGGCCACATTTCAAGGTCATATTTCAAGGTCATATTTCGATTCAAGGTCACATTTCAAGGCTATATTTCAAGGTTGCATTTCAAGGTCATATTTCAAGGCCATGTTGCAAGGTTACATTTCAAGGTCACATTTCGAGGTTAAATATGCGTTCAAGGTTGGCTCCCAAGATCGACACTCAAGGGCGTTCTAGAACAGACAAACCCTACCTACTATCATCGATACGTGAAGCAAGTAAGTCTACTGTGATACCAGAAGAAAATTTTCAAAAGAGGCAAAGCATCAGAAGTAGCGATAAATATGATTTTGAGAACAGCGATCGGATACCCACAAGTACACCAACTACCAATGAAATGGTTGCTTTGCCACATATGTCCTCAAACACGTTGGAAACATTGAATAACTCTCCAAGCTCAAGCAATTTAGAAAGAAGAAATGAGGACACGTATTATTTCACAGAGTATCCAGATACATCTAGTAGGTCTACAGATATGCATATTGACTTTGCACATGATGCTCAGAATACTGGACAAGTTTTGAAATCTGAGCAACAATGAGACAAAATGGGGACATAATTAATACATCCGGCTCTGCACAAAGTCACTTGGATAATGGAAATGAAATTACCATAGAACATTCTAGTCTGTACAATGATAACAAATATACAATTGCTTCTGACAAAACTGTATCTGACGACAAGGTTGTTTCAGCCTCTAAAGTTATTGAGAAAAAGATGCCTTTTGAGTCTAGAAAAAAGTAAGTGGAAATTGGGAATTTTAAATTATAAGTATTATTTTTTTTATTAATGTGTTCGTATCCAGGGTGCTCCAACTCGTGAAAATAATGATATTGAACCAAATGTGTTTTAGTAAAACGTTCCTAGTTGCTGAGATATAGAAGTTTATCCAAGATATTTTTTTCTCAGCTTATATATTTTTGGGTACAATTTCTACTTCACCTGAACATAACACTGCCAAATCACAAACATCAACTCTTGAGCAAATCAGAGCCTACAATGATATTCCCTTATCAGTTAGCGAGATTGACAGTCAGATAAACGAAAACGAACATAGTCAGGCACACATATTAAATATAGGTCAACAGCCAGCATCAAACGACGATATTGAGAAAAGCCTCGGTAATATCCTGACACTACCTTCAGACGATAGGGAGTATGATAATATATGCGAAGTGACAAACACTGATCCTGAAGCAATTGTAGAACTTATTACTGAAAGTGACAAGGAAATCAACACGCGAAAAAGAATCAGTGAAACGTGTGACAAAATGGAAGTCTGTCCTGTTGCATCACAATTCAAGGATACATCATCGATACGTGAAGCAAGTAAGTCTACTGTGATACCAGAAGAAAATTTTCAAAAGAGGCAAAGCATCAGAAGTAGCGATAAATATGATTTTGAGAACAGCGATCGGATACCCACAAGTACACCAACTACCAATGAAATGGTTGCTTTGCCACATATGTCCTCAAACACGTTGGAAACATTGAATAACTCTCCAAGCTCAAGCAATTTAGAAAGAAGAAATGAGGACACGTATTATTTCACAGAGTATCCAGATACATCTAGTAGGTCTACAGATATGCATGTTGACTTTGCACATGATGCTCAGAATACTGGACAAGTTTTGAAATCTGAGCAACATATCAGAAATGGGGACATAATTAATACATCCGGATCTGCACAAAGTCACTTGGATAATGGAAATGAAATTACCATAGAACATTCTAGTCTGTACAATGATAACAAATATACAATTGCTTCTGACAAAACTGTATCTGACGACAAGGTTGTTTCAGCCTCTAAAGTTATTGAGAAAAAGATGCCTTTTGAGTCTAGAAAAAAGTAAGTGGAAATTGGGAATTTTAAATTATAAGTATTATTTTTTTTATTAATGTGTTCGTATCCAGGGTGCTCCAACTCGTGAAAATAATGATATTGAACCAAATGTGTTTTAGTAAAACGTTCCTAGTTGCTGAGATATAGAAGTTTATCCAAGATATTTTTTTCTCAGCTTATATATTTTTGGGTACAATTTCTACTTCACCTGAACATAACACTGCCAAATCACAAACATCAACTCTTGAGCAAATCAGAGCCTACAATGATATTCCCTTATCAGTTAGCGAGATTGACAGTCAGATAAACGAAAACGAACATAGTCAGGCACACATATTAAATATAGGTCAACAGCCAGCATCAAACGACGATATTGAGAAAAGCCTCGGTAATATCCTGACACTACCTTCAGACGATAGGGAGTATGATAATATATGCGAAGTGACAAACACTGATCCTGAAGCAATTGTAGAACTTATTACTGAAAGTGACAAGGAAATCAACACGCGAAAAAGAATCAGTGAAACGTGTGACAAAATGGAAGTCTGTCCTGTTGCATCACAATTCAAGGATACATCATCGATACGTGAAGCAAGTAAGTCTACTGTGATACCAGAAGAAAATTTTCAAAAGAGGCAAAGCATCAGAAGTAGCGATAAATATGATTTTGAGAACAGCGATCGGATACCCACAAGTACACCAACTACCAATGAAATGGTTGCTTTGCCACATATGTCCTCAAACACGTTGGAAACATTGAATAACTCTCCAAGCTCAAGCAATTTAGAAAGAAGAAATGAGGACACGTATTATTTCACAGAGTATCCAGATACATCTAGTAGGTCTACAGATATGCATGTTGACTTTGCACATGATGCTCAGAATACTGGACAAGTTTTGAAATCTGAGCAACATATCAGAAATGGGGACATAATTAATACATCCGGATCTGCACAAAGTCACTTGGATAATGGAAATGAAATTACCATAGAACATTCTAGTCTGTACAATGATAACAAATATACAATTGCTTCTGACAAAACTGTATCTGACGACAAGGTTGTTTCAGCCTCTAAAGTTATTGAGAAAAAGATGCCTTTTGAGTCTAGAAAAAAGTAAGTGGAAATTGGGAATTTTAAATTATAAGTATTATTTTTTTTATTAATGTGTTCGTATCCAGGGTGCTCCAACTCGTGAAAATAATGATATTGAACCAAATGTGTTTTAGTAAAACGTTCCTAGTTGCTGAGATATAGAAGTTTATCCAAGATATTTTTTTCTCAGCTTATATATTTTTGGGTACAATTTCTACTTCACCTGAACATAACACTGCCAAATCACAAACATCAACTCTTGAGCAAATCAGAGCCTACAATGATATTCCCTTATCAGTTAGTGAGATTGACAGTCAGATAAACGAAAACGAACATAGTCAGGCACACATTTTAAATATAGGTCAACAGCCATCATCAAACGACGATATTGAGAAAAGCCTCGGTAATATCCTGACACTACCTTCAGACGATAGGGAGTATGATAATATATGCGAAGTGACAAACACTGATCCTGAAGCAATTGTAGAACTTATTACTGAAAGTGACAAGGAAATCAACACGCGAAAAAGAATCAGTGAAACGTGTGACAAAATGGAAGTCTGTCCTGTTGCATCACAATTCAAGGATACATCATCGATACGTGAAGCAAGTAAGTCTACTGTGATACCAGAAGAAAATTTTCAAAAGAGGCAAAGCATCAGAAGTAGCGATAAATATGATTTTGAGAACAGCGATCGGATACCCACAAGTACACCAACTACCAATGAAATGGTTGCTTTGCCACATATGTCCTCAAACACGTTGG